CTTCTTTTTCAAAAATATACTTCTTATTATAACCTTTGCAAGGCTTCTAGCACTTATATTAACCACTACGATATTTTCATTGATAATCCTACTGCCACTTAGTCTTATATTCGGTCATTATATCAAGACGAAGAACAACAAACTTTAGAAGAAATTGCTATCTCCGTTTTACCTTTATCTTCTCCTAATACTGTTATTAATATAGAAGAACCTGTCATTGCTTCTACTTCAACTTCTACACCTATTACTCAGCCAGAAAGACAAGAAGAATCTTTTACCTCGTCTGATAATTCAGAAAATACCCTAAAAGAAGCAACTTCATTACCTACTCTACCACCTTGACTTATTAATAGGATTTTAAAAACTTTAACATCTATTAGCCCTCATCGAACCGGATCTTCTTCTACTTCTGAAACTCAACAAGAAGATACTCAATCTATTAATACTGAAGCCTCAATTACCGAAAAAACTGCTGTATTGCCAGTACATACTGTAGACGAAGAAATTATTACAACTATCTATTTATTCAAGCAGAACTATCAATCTCTTTACCTACTAATTAAAACCCCTAGTCTGCCACCAGAACATCTTTACTCAGATATCACAGATATTTCTAGTTCAACTTCCATTTACTCTCTACTTTATCCTCAATTTCTTAAAACAACTACTATATATAATTATCTTTCCCAAGAGAATTTAGACTACTTTGAACAGCCAGAAACAACAAATTTATTTGAACAAAGTCCCTTATCTTTATCTAAACAAACAGACACCAAGCAAATAATAAATTCAGATATTTCAGACGAAAAAGAAAATATGGGTGACTTAAAACAAACTGCTCAAGCTATGACCCAATTAGCAGAAGCTATTGAAGGAGGAGGAGAAGCAAAAAAATCTCTTATCAAGATTAAACCATTTAGAGAAGATGGTACTGAGGACCCTATTGATTGGATCAACAAATTCGAACGAGCTACTACTGCCAATAACTGGAGTGCTGCTAGAAAA